TTTTTTTTATCTTAAAAAAAATAAGATGGATTCTCATTGATAAAAAAACTGATGTGATGTGATGCAGTGAATCTCAAACCATTGATGACACATATATCTCACAACTTGTAAAGATATATACAAGAAAATATCCTATTTCTTATTAAATATAGAGGATGTTGAATGAGCTATTCAATTACTATTTTTTTTTTAATTTCATTGAGATTAATTAATAATTAATTCTATTATTACATATTAAACTAGTGGAACAAAGTTGTAATTAACTCTTAAAATTAATAAAAAGAAGAATGTCCGGTCATGAACGACGAAAGCATGTGCTTTGATTCTGTCATGCTGCAGTAATTATAGTATATCCACTGTTCAAGAACGTAACGAAACTGGAGGTAATATGATCAGGGAAGACTAGAAATATTTTGGAGGACTTGCTCTTCTGCAACCCTAGCTTGTTAAGTTCCTCCGAGGATCCGAACACTTTTCGTCTGGTTGCAGAAAGTCTCTACTGATTAGACCACGCACGCCATGCACATTCATGAACTTTTTCTCTAGTTTCTTACTGAACCGTAGCAGTACTAAAACCACCCGCTCCTCTGGTTTTCGTTTTGGTTTTGATTTTAATGCTCTATTAATTTTTGTTGCCGAAAGATTATGGGTCCAACCAGGGGCGGTGTAAGAAAAAAAAACTAAGGGGGACCAAATTAAAAATTAAGGAAACAAAATTAAATTTTTAATTATTTTTACAATATTTACAAGAAAAGGAGCTGGAAAAAAAATTTCCTGCTGGGGCCGGGGTCCCTGCCAGCCCCCCTGCCTCCGCCACTGGGTCCAACACATACATTCGTAAAGGCTTGTTCTCTTGTACAGTTTCCACTTTTGAAAAAATCAACAGAAAGAATGAGGCAGGTAAGAAAAAAGCAGACAGCCACTGTAGCTGACTCCTACTACATCCCTTAATAATCTGATCAAACACCAGAACATGCATAGATAATTGTTTGGCAGATGAGAGATGATTGCCTTATTTCTTCTTCTTGATTTTTGTTTTTGCTGGTAAACTGAAGTTGTTTGTGCCCACATTCTATTTTAAGTTGAATGGTATGATTTGCAGAGGGCAAAAGGAAGATAAACCTTGCGTCTGCTATGCTACCGATTATGAATGCATAAGTTGAAAAAGAGCGTTCCTTTATTACCAATAACCTCGGTGCAAAGCACAAGAAGGTCCCAGAAACCACAATTTGCCCACAATAAATAGAAGCCCAAACAAACGAGGCTATGCGATAATACATATATATATTAAATAAATTAAATGGAACCCCTATAATAATTTGATCAAATAAATTAAAATAAAATAAAAACAACTAACAAACAATCTGCAAAAGCTCATTTCCAAATCCCGGTCTGCTTCTTCAATCTCACTTCCTCATCTTGATTCGAAGGGAACCTTTCGAAGCCGGGCCCAATATAATGCTATGCAAGATTGCCACGTTGAAGTTTGAGAGAATGGTAAAGTTTTTTAACATTTTTGTTGCAAAATTCAGACACTTATTGAATGGTTTTGGAAAGGATCCTTCGTATCTACTCTTTTCGCTCTTGAACCCTTCTTTTATTACATTGCTGACACTAAAACCTGCAAATCAAATACAATTGGAAGTGAGAATTGATTACATTATATTATCTTAACTTTTTTGGCATTAATATTTGACATGGTGAGCAGTTGAGTAAGAAAAACCTTTACTTACATGATTTGTGGTGATTTACGGAGTGTAAATGTAAACCGGGGGTGGGGGTGATTTCATCGGTGGGGGAGGTGAATGGTAGTAGTAGGGAGGAGGTGGTGATGGTGAAGGAGGAGGTGGGGACTTGTAGATATATGGAGGAGGGGGAGATGGGGATGGCGGGGGTGGGGAGTTGTAGTGGGGTGGAGGGGGGGGGGATGGTGGAGGAGGGGATTTGTAGTAGTATGGGGGTGGAGGAGATGGTGAGGGGGGAGGTGGGGATTTGTAGTAATAGGGTGGTGGAGGAGATGGTGATGGAGGTGGTGGGGACTTGTAGTGGTATGGAGGTGGTGGTGAAGGATCGGGTGGTGGAGGGGATTTGTAGTAGTATGGAGGTGGAGGAGAAGGGGATGGAGGTGGTGGGGATTTGTAGTAGTAGGGTGGGGGAGGAGATGACGATGGTGGAGGAGGTGATTTGTAGTAGTATGGTGGGGTAGGAGATGGTGATGGTGGAGGAGGAGATTTGTAATAGTATGGTGGGGGAGGAGATGGTGAGGGTGGTGGTGGTGACTTGTAGTAGTACGGTGGGGGAGGTGATGGAGATGGTGGAGGTGGTGATTTGTAGTAGTAAGGTGGAGGAGGGGAATGAACCGGTGGAGGAGGAGATTTGTAGTAATATGGTGAAGGAGGTGATGGGGAAGGTGGTGGTGGTGATTTGTAGTAGTATGGTGGGGGAGGGGAATGAACTGGTGGAGGAGGAGATTTATAGTAGTATGGTGGAGGAGGTGATGGGGATGGTGGTGGAGGTGATTTGTAGTAGTATGGTGGAGGAGGTGACGGAGATGGTGGGGGTAGTGATTTGTAGTAGTAAGGTGGGGGAGGGGAATGAACCGGTGAGGGAGGTGATTTGTAGTAGTATGGCGGAGGAGGGGACGGGGGTGGTGGGGGTGGGGATTTATAATAATATGGTGGGGGGGGGGATTTGTAGTAGTAAGGTGGTGGGGGTGATGGTGAAGGAGGTGGTGGTGATTTATAGTAATAGGGTGATGAAGATGGTGGCGATGGAGATTTATAATAGTATGGAGGTGGGGGGGATGGTGAAGGAGGTGGTGGTGATTTATAATAATATGGTGGTGAGGGGGAATGAGTTGATGGTGGTGGAGGTGACTTGTATATGTAAGTAGGAGGTGGGGGTGGAGGAGACTTGTAGTAGTAAGGAGCCGGAGTGGACTTGTGCTTCTCACACTTCTTATAAGGGGTCTTAGGAGCATAAGCGAATGACTTAGCTGAGAGCACAACTTCATACTTTGTCTTGGACTTCACCTTGAGGGAGGCACCTTTGTTACCCCAGTGTAGGCTAGTTGGGATATTGCATGATGAACCCTTTGGTGCCGCGTGAAGCTTGGCCTTGCATGCCTTTCCTCCATACTTTTTATAGTGGAAGCCTTTAACGGTGATACTGTATTTTCCATTAATCTTAGTTTTACCATAGGCCTTGACCTTCTTAGTACCTGCCTTACATGTTACCTCCACCACGACTCCTATTTCACACATAATAATGAAAGTGGGTTAATTCATATATATTTTTATAGTATCAAGCTTGTTGTGCAGGCCAAACTAAAATAAATAATAAGCATTTCGTTTTTCCAATGTAATATAATTAATAGTATTAGTTAATTAGTTTTACATTTGGAAGTTTTAGACATGTTTGTCATTCAATTCAATTATTAATTCAATTATTAATTCAATATGACAACTACTACATGTGGATCGATTATTGATTGGACATCTCTTTATATATATCATGATCCTTGTTCTTTTCAAGTTATTATGTCATAGGTAAGGTAATGTAGTCTAATGTTTCAAGTGAAAATTTAAAACTTGGGACATGACAAAATTTGTATGTTTGTGCGCATGAACTTCAATAATTAATATCCATAGTTTAAATCGTGTTCAATAGTGAATTGGTCTCTATTAGATACTATTATTTTTGTTTGAAAAATGGATCAATCATATATCCCTAGAGACATTTGTACATAGAAATATAATGAATATATATATGATATCCAATATCAAGCCAAAAACATGCATGAAGATGCTATAAATTAGTGTTGTCCATTTCATTGAACAACTAAAACTAAATTTGATGAATCATAATAAATTTGCAAGTTTAAGATAAACAATATTAGATATGCTTAATCATTTTAACACAAAATGTACCTTTTAGATGCTTTTTATCATGTGACTTCATTGGATATCCCCAATTATAGCATCTGTAACAATAAACTTTTCCTACCACCTTGACAATTAAGTCGTGGTGGTGAGGGTAAGGGATGGGTGGAGGGGGGGAAGTGTAGTAATATGGAGGAGGTAGAGCTTTAGGTGGTGGTGGAGACTTGTAGTAGTATGGTGTTGGAGGTGGTGGGGACTTAGTTGGAGGTGGTGGAGACTTGTAGTAATAAGGAGGTGATGAAGATTTTAAAGGTGGTGGAGGAGATTTATAATAATATGGTGGTGGAGGAGATGGTGAAGGAGGAGGTGGAGATTTGTAGTAGTATGGAGGGGGAGGAGATGGTGAGGGTGGTGGTGGAGATTTGTAGTAGTATGGAGGGGGAAGAGATGGTGAGGGTGGTGGTGGTGACTTATAGTAATAAGGTGGAGGTGGTGAATGAGTAGGTGGTGGTGGAGAATTGTAGTAATATGATGGGGGCGGCGATGGTGAGGGAGGAGGTGGTGACTTGTAGTAGTATGGTGGTGGTGGTGATTTTTTAGGTGGTGGTGGGGATTTGTAGTAGTATGGGGGTGGAGGAGATGGTGAGGGAGGTGGGGGAGACTTATAATAGTAGGGAGGTGGTGGGGATGATGAAGGGGGTGGAGGAGATTTGTAGATGTAAGGTGGAGGGGGGGGGGTG